GAGATTCGGCCCAGCCAGACCCCCTCTCTGAGGGCTCTTTTCCCGCGTCCACCCGACAGCCGGCGTCACCCAGCCGGGCCCGACCACACTGAGGCGCAGCTCCGGGAGGCTACGGCTGGCCAGCCGCGGCGTCCAGTCCGAGCCAGAAGCAGCCGCTCTCCTCCCGCCCGGCAGCGTCCCACAGGCGGTGACGGGACACCCGGGCTGCGGCGCATGGACAGGGCCGTTGGCCACAGGGAGGCCAGCGCAGGGCGGCCGGCAGCGGCGTGGCCCTCCGCACACACAGAGTGGGCTGCACTCAAGCGCGGTTCTGTGACCAGAGGTCCAGCAGGACAGAGCACAAGGAGGCCGCGGGCCCGGCTGGCTGTGGACGGGCAGTGGACGCCTAGGCCCACCCCAGAGTCGGGGACGCCTGCGCCACGGGACATGACGGCCTCGGGCACGTCAGCGGTGACCTGGACCAGGCCAGCCCACCCTGCCGGACAGGGAGGCCTGGGGAGGAAGCCGGACCCGGGCCCTCGGGCTGCCAGTGGGTGCCCACGGTGCGGGCCGGTGTGGCGGCCTGTTCAGAGCCGCGCGGTGTGGGCTCGCCGGGGCGGCCCCGGAAGCAGCAGACTCCGGGCAGCCAACGCCAGGCTGGCAGAGGACGGGACAGCCGGGCCGGGCCGAGTCCCGGGCGAGGGGCGCACAGACGCCCCCGAGGGGGCCGGTACCTCTGCTGTTGCTCTCCGGGTAGGCGGGCGTGGGCTTGCTCGGGGAGCGCCGCAGGTCGCTGTTAAGGAAGGGCTTGTCGGGCGGGTACGCGGCGTAAGGGGACGCGGCCGGGCGGGCCGTGCTTCCGTGGGCCCTCGGGGGCTCGGAGCTCTGCGAACAGAAGACCAGAGTGGCGGGCGGGCGGGGCGCCGGGAGTGGCCACAGGCGCCCCGTTGGCAAGACACTGGCCGCGCGTCTGCGGGACCGAAACTGCCTTGTGGCGCCAAGGGACCCGCTGGTCAGGGCTCGGGCGGCCGGCAGGCGCGCGTCTGCGGGGCTTGAACACGGGCTGGGGGGGGCGTGGCGCCCCGCACCTGGTGCCAGTGCTGGCCCCGAGCTGCACCCGACCGTCCTCGCCCGCGGGGGGCTCTGGGGAGCACGGACCCGGGCCCGAGACTCACAAGCTCATCTGTCCGAACTCGTCCTGCAGCGTCTGTAGGACCTCGGACAGCTCCTCGCTGACGCTGCCCGGGGGAGGCGGCGTCGCCGGCTTCCTGGCCCGACCGCCCCGCGAGGACGCGTGCCTGGCCAGAGGGACGCTGCTGACCACGCGGTCGTTGCACAAGGCTCTGCTGTGCTGCTTCATCAGGTGCAGGACGTGCTGGACGTTGGCCACCACGGCGTGGCTGGGGCTGGTGGACTGGAGGACGCGGGCGCCGTGTGTAGCGGCTGCCTCGGCCCCGCCCTGAGCCCGTCGTCCTGACCCCCGGCGCCCGCCCCCTCCCGCGGACGGCCAGCCAGCGGCGCCCGGCGAGACTCACCTTCCCGGCGACGAAGGGCATGTCCCCCAGGCAGAGCCGGTAGTGGGGCTGCGCAGCAAGGTGGCCCCGGGAGCACCTCTGCCGGGAGAGGGAGGTGAGGGCCGCGCCGGGCACACGACGCCGGCACCCCGCACCTCGGCGCGCAGCAGGCGGCCGGGCGCCGCTCCCTGCACCTTCTCCGGGGGCTTCGCCTTCTTTTTCTTCGTTCTCCTGGCGCCGTGCGTGCGCGGGGCCGCCGTGTCCTCGAAGAGCAGCCTGCTGGCCTCCAGGCCCGTCTGCAGCTGGGAGAGGTCGGCGCCTCAGCAACGCCCAGGAGCCAGCCGCGAGGCGCCGGGCCCGGGAAGCCCAGGGTGGGGGCCCCTTGCGCGGCCCGACTGGACGCTGCCTCGTCTG